CCACTTGGTTGGGAACTCCTCCTTGTGGCACCTATGGTTGTGGAAGGTGTGTTGCTTGTAAGTACATCTCTAAAGGCTGTAAGATAGTCAGTGACAGCACAGGACGGGGCTCCTTTAAGATTAAGAGTTTGTTCAATTGCAGCACAAAGGGCCTTGTCTATTTGCTGACATGTTTATGTGGACGTAAATATGTAGGCAAAACTTTCAGGGCCTTCAGAGAGAGAATTATGGAACATGTAAGGTCCACCAGAAATCGTCTAGAAACACCCATTTCTAGACATTTGAAATAACATCATTATGGCGACTCTAATAATCTCCTTTTTTGTGGACTAGAACTAGTAAAGAGGCGTGGAGATTTTGATAAGTTCTTAAGACAGAGGGAGTCTAGGTGGATATATGAACTGAGGACCCTCCAGCCTTTGGGTTTGAATGAAGGTTTTTCATTTACACCCTTCATTTAATCATCTATAGGTCAATGTATCGGTCTATGAATCACCTGGATGCTGTCATTTGACTTTATTGAATGTTTATTTATTTTACCTGCCATCTACAACTAATACTACAATAATTATGCAGTGGATCACTTGTATATACTGTCTAGGCTTATTACTTTGAATTTAAGGCTGCTTTGGACTTTTTGAATTTGCTTTACCTCTCCCCCCTACCTCCCTTTTGTTCATCTCCTGCTCTATATGCAACTTTTATATATAGTTTGTTATATGGTTTAATCCAGAGTTTTGGACATTGGAATTAGAGCAAATAACTATTCACTTGATAATGTGATAGATGATCCACACTGGATATACTAATTTGAATATAGAGTTTATTTATTTTTTTGAATGGGTCTTCTATTACATTTACTATATTAATGAGCTGAAGTAGTGGGTTTAGATTCAGTAACTTGGTTACTGTTTTGATATATATATATATATATATATATATATACCCTCATTTAACCTAGACCCTGAAATTATAAATTCTAGATGTGGATATTGAGTTGTTATAATGCGGATCACATCATATTTGAGATAGCTATAATACTTTATTTGAAGTGCGTAACCCTAGTGTAGTACGATTTTTTAATGCCTTTAACCAATGTATGGAGTTCATCTTTCACTTTGAACAAGCATTTAGTACATTTACTAAGTCCTCGCGCATGCGTGGACTTTTGCCTCCTCACTCTGGATGAGCGTTTACTATATATACCAAGTCCTCCTTTTTTGGACCTTTCAGCATTCGGTAGTACTCCCCATTTGAATGGTAGATTGAGTGAAACTTTGGATTGGCTGATTGATTGTTCCACTTTTCAGGAGGAGGGGGGATGTCCTTTATAATGGGTGAGTAGGGAGGGGGGGACTTCTCTTGTTACACTATATGCCCTTGAGAAAGGCGGTTTACCTGCCGAAACGCGCGTTGTGCTACTTACTTACTTTGATGCTGTTATACTAATTTTTGTAGCATCCCACTCTCTTGTTTTGTTTTGTTTTGGTTTCGTTTTTGTGCTGTGTCCACTTGTTATATCGACCAGCCGGTTTTTCTTAACAGTTGGGACACTAATAGACCTGTATTTTAGGGGTATCCACAGTGGAAATGTCCCTTTGTTTTATACTATTTGGGACCCCCCTGTGGATTTCTTTCCTTCTTCTCCTCTACTCTTTATTTTCTACAATACCCCCTCCTCTGTTCTATTGATTTCTTACTTTAAGATTTTTTGTTGAGGGGGTATTTTTGAATATTTACTTATTTTTTGACCTGTAGGGGGACTTTTTGGTGCCACCTTCTGTTTATGTAGTACGACACAGCACATTAATCTTGTGATAATCATTCACATTTTTTCAGACTTGTGACTGTACACTGATACATTGTTCACACGATTCAATTGCTACATTTGTTACAAATGTGGTAACTCTGTCTCAAACCCTCACAGGTTGAGCTAATTGTAACTGATGGCTGGCATTATCCAGCTTTTATACACTTCTATTTTGTAGGATGTCTAACTAATTTATCTCTATGTGTTATTGATGATTTATATATATATATATATATATATATATATATATATATATATATATATATATATATATTCACGTCTAAGCCTTCTTTAATTATATTAGCCTGTGTAATTAGACATTTTCTACGGGGTAGCTTGAGTAGGAGGATTCCTCCCGTTGCGTTACGGGAGGAGCTCTCCTTACTTCTTTTCTCTTCTATTTTGTAATTGTAGGGTTATGCCCTTTTTGCTACCCCCTTAACCCATCTCTATACTATTCGATAGGGCTTGTTCTCCTTATCTGATGGTATCCCTTTTGTATATTTCAGAAATGAACCTACAAAGCTGTGGAGTTATTATTGGTTCAAAGGTTTTATAAAAGAGAGCCGTATATCCATCTGGACCTGGAGCTTTCCCATTTTTTAGATTTAGAATTACTTTTTAAATCTCCTCTTGAGTTATGGGCTTGTTTAGTTCCTTTAGTTTTTCTAAATTTATTGAAGATAGTTTGATTTTTTTTTAAAAGTTTTAAAATCAGAAGTAGGTGGTCTGTCCCGAGGCAAATTATAAAGATTGGCATAGTAGTCTGTAAAAGCTTTCTCTGTTTGATGAGGAGAAATATATATTATCTCCTACTATGATTTTCTTTATATTCAGATTTTTCTTATGTAGTTGAATCCTATTGGAGAGAAATGTCCCTATTTTATTATAACAACTGTACCAATTTTGATTAAATTTTCTATTCATCTTTTCTCCTTTATCTTCCAATGTCTAATTAATTTGAGATTGAACCAATTTAATCTGATTAATAAAACATGGTTTAGGATCCTTTTGATTGTCTTTTTCCAGATCTGCCAATTTAATATATAAATCTGCCAGGTCTGCTCCTTTTTGTTTTTTTACATTTAGCTTCTAGTTTTATTAAATTACCCCTCATCACACATTTAAATGTACACCAAAGGGTTTCATTTGGCATGTCCCCTTAATCGTTAAATCTGAAAAACTCCTTAGCTAAACCATTTAAATGCTCTCTATTTTCCAGTTCCATTAGAATTGTTTCATTCATTCTCCAATGTGGTCTAGTATTATAATCATTTCTAGATGTGGTCTAGATTACATTTCGTTTTAACTCCTATAAGGGCATGATCAGTCCATGTGATAGGACCTATATGGGAACTTATGAACTGTTTGAAATTAATCAAATCAGTCAGAAAAAAAATCTATTCTAGAGTATGTGTTATGAACTTTAAAACAGTGAGTGAAGTCCTTTTCCCAAGGGTGGTGGACCCTTCATATATCATAAAGATTATACATGTTAAAAAGCTAATATCCTGATCTTCTTCTTTTTTTTTAAATTATTTAGCTTTCGCAATTTCTTAGATACACCAGTTTCTCTAACTAAAATATTATTTACCACGGTATTACAGTCTCCCCCTATTAATAAAATTTCCTTTTTGACTCTGTTTATCATAGCAGACAACCTTTTATAAAAAATCAAAGAAAATTAATTTGGAGCGTATAGGTTACATAGAGTGTAGACCTGATCGTTTAACTTACATATTACCAAAATAAATCTGCCTGCTATATCTTTCTCAGTGTATAGCAGTTCAAATGTATTTTTGCTGAACATAAAATGGCAACTCTTTTTTTTATCTGTTAAATTAGAACTCAGGACTATGGGATTTTTCAACATAAGTCGATTTTATCTTTAATTAACATTTTATATAGTAAGCCCCTTTTCATTGGAGTGTTTAAAACTTGAGCATTTATAGATGTTATTTTAAGTGCCATCTTTATGTTTCATTGTTTCAGTACTTATAATGGTCTCATGCGGTGTGAAATTCAACTCTCACCTTAAAGGACCACTATAGGCACCCAGACCACTTCAGCTTAATGAAGTGGTCTGGGTGCCTGGTCCAGCTAGGATTAACCCTTTCTTCTATAAACATAGCAGTTTCAGAGAATTCAGGGTTAATCTAGCCTCTACTGACTGTCTCATTGGAGGCCGCTAGAGGCGCTTCCGTGCTTCTCACTGTGATTTTCACAGTGAGAAGACGTCAGCGTCCATAGGAAAGCATTGAGAATGCTTTCCTATGGACTGGCTGAATGCGCGTGTGGCTCCTGCCGTGCATGCGCATTCAGCCGATGACGGCGATGAGGAGAGTTCCCCGCCCGGTGCTGGAGAAAGAGGTAAATTTAACCCCTTCCATCCCCTAGAGCCTGGTGGGAGAGGAGGCGGAGAGGAGGAGGAGAGCTCCCCCCGGCGCTGGAATAAAGGTAAGTTTTAACCCTTTCCTCTCCCCAGAGCCGGGTGGGAGGGGGTCCCTTAGGGTGGGGGCACCCTCAGGGCACTATAGTGCCAGGAAAACGAGTATTTTTTCCTGGCACTATTGTGGTCCTTTAAATTCCCCATTGGTGTCTTCTTCACCAAGTCACAAAAAATGTGTGACCCAAAACAAACAAGACATACTGCACCATAATCTCCTATGTTTTGCTTGCCTTGAGACTCCTGTTTATCCAAGAAGGTGGGGTGCTACCTATAACAGCACAGCTGCACATCAAGATTTATATTACCATACAGAGGGGTAAGCTAATATCTGCTTGTCTATTATTCAGCGCTGCACTCACTGATTATAGGGTTTATCCTGTTAATCATTTTTCTCTATGTATTTATGGTGAGGGAAGAAAGGTATCCCCTCGCGTATTTAAGAGCTGCTATTCACACGTTGATTTTGAAGCGTTTACTTACTGTTCACACTGAGCTCACTTGTGAGTCACTTCTGCTACATACTACATATTCACTTTAAACATAAGTAACTATACAGCTCACATAACATCAGCAAATCTGGAGTAACAGAACTCAGGTAAAGAAAAAAAACAGAGTATGACTGTCTAAACAGGCCTTCTTTTTGCAGGGTATCCCTGAGTTTCACCAAGATTCACACTGTCTTGGATTTTGATATTGAACCACCAAAAATGGACCTCTATCTGCAGCTTGTTTGACAGAGTACTGAATACTCGAATTTAGATGATTACTTCAGGGATTTGCTTCAGGGACCATTGTGAGTACAAAGTATAGTACTGCCTCAATGGGCTTTCTTTACAGGATCTCCCTGGACTTGCCCCAATAACCCGGCCAGACTCCAGTCTCGAACAGCGAGAAATTGACCCCCAGCCTCCTCTCGAACAGGGCACTAAGCACTAAGGCTAGACGATTCAGGTACCATTGTGAGCACTGTGTATCTTCTTACTCCATGAAATCTGGTATACTTATGGAGAGACTTGAAATTATGTTGAAGTTTCACCTCCTCTAGCTTGTAAGCTTGTTTAAACAGTGTCCTCATCAACCTAGCATTCCTGTCAAAATTTGTAATACATTGTCTAATACATTGTTGTTAAATTCCCTACTTTGTAACATTGTTGGTGCTATATAAATGCCAATAATACTATTAACAGGTGAATGAACCTTGTTCTGCGTTTGATGGTAACTTGTATTTGATGTCTCCATTAGTGAAATAACAGAGGAAAAAAGAGGTTTGGGAGTAGGTGTTGTATGAGTGTGTATGGAGAGGTTGCCTGTAGTTATGTTTGCATTTGAAAGCTGCTTGTGAGGATGCATGTGTGGAGTAGACTACTGCGGAGTTGTTTATGAAATAGAATACAGTGATGTTTGTGTGTGGCATGGCTCATGGGCGGGTCCAGAACCTAATCTCTGGAGTGATATGGGAGTGATATGGTAGACTATATTTAAAGGAACAACCACTGCAGATTTCTGTAGTGCTTATGGTTCCAGGAGTGCCATGGCGCCCTCCCAGAGTAAGTAGTCAAACCAAGAACAGTTTGACAACTTTCCTAGGGTCTCCTGGAATTGGGGATGTAGTAAGGGATTGGGCCTGTAGTAGGGAATGTGTGTATGTGTGTGAGGGATGAAATGTGTGAGAAGGGTGTAGTTTGTGTGTGTGAAGGGTGCAGTGTCTGTGTGAGGGGTGCAATGTTCGTCAATTCTTTCATTCGTTTTCGTACGATATTCGGTAGTATTTTCGTTTCGGCTAAACTTGTTCGTTCATTCGGCGCGATTTAATTGAGCCAAATGAATTGAATACATAAAACTATGTTCCCTAATCCCTAAATACCGAATAGCTTCAACCGAACTCAGTAAAACCATTCGTTTCAAATGTTGTACATTGCTAACAACATGGCATTGATTGAATTGTTTTACGCTTAAAACTCCCGAACCGTCAAATGCACGAACGCTGGCATTCGCATGAAAATGTATTGGCGCTATTAGTAAATTACCGAACACCATTCACTATAGTCATTTGTATGTCGAATGGTATTGCAAATACAATGCAATCATAAAAGTCAGTTCCCTAATCCCTAAATAGCGAATAGCCTCAAGTGAACGCAGTAAAACCATTCATTCGTTTACATTTTCGTACATTGATCTCCCAACACATGGCATTGAACAATGTTCTAATCTATTTACGCTTAAAACTCCCGAACAAATTCCCGAACCGTCAAATGCACGAACACTGCCGTTCGCATGAAAATGTATTGGCACTATTAGTAAACTACCGAACACCACTTACAATAGTCATTCGCATGTCGAATGACATTGCAAATGCAATGCATTGCTTTCGCTTAGTTTCTTGGGCTCATGAATCATCATGCTTCCCTGACAGGTGGTACTGGCAACACAGTATCATTTTATAAGGGAGTGGGAAAGAAGTAGTAGCCAATTAAATAGGCTTTTACATACTGCCAGACAAAACTGTAGAAAAAAAAAAGTATCAACTCAAGGCAGTCCTTCAATGCAAAATCTATCCAGATTTTCTATAGGCCAGCCATTCAGCCATTTTGGAGCTCAGCCAGCCCACCACCCTGTCAGCCATTTTAGGCACTTGAACACTGAGCCTGCCAGAAGTGGCAATGTCCTCCTCCAGCTCCTCAAGTGAGATAGAAGTCATGGATGTAGTGGAGGGGGGCATTGGCCACTCTGGCCAGGAGATAGGAGAAGCAAGTGGGAGAAGCAAGCAGAAGCAGAGGCAGCCCAGGATCTTAAAAAGAGCAGATCCTGGGAGGAAGAATAAATATGCAGATAGCTTTCGTGCAGAGGAGAATACAGTACTGGTAAACAAACTTTGCCAGTACTACCAATGTATATTTGGGGGAGCAGCCAAAAAGAGTTCCAGAGCACAGAAGGAAAAATCGGTGGAGGAAGATTGTGGCAGCGGTGAATGCTGTTGGAGGGAACAACCGCACCGAGGACGTGGTGAAGAAACGGTAAGTGCACTTATATTCCTAAAAAATAATTTTCTTTATGCCATGTTTTATTAAAACTTATTTTTTTCCTCCATGTGCTTTTGCTACACACCCCCACCAGTGGCAGCTATGCTTTTAAAGTCTTTTAAAAGTGAGGGTTGGGTCACTTAAGCACATAGAGGGAAAAAAAAAACCATGTGCAGCTCAGCTTTAAAGGAACACTATAGTGACAGGAATACATGTTTGCATTCCTGTCACTATAACTGTGAAAACACAGTTTAACCTCCCTCTCAGCAATGTAACTGTAATTAAAGGGACACTCCAGTGCCAGGAGAACAAACCATGTCCCACCCCTCATCCCAGGGGGAGACCAATTGCGCATGCGCTGCCGCCGACGGGGTGAGACCTAATGCGCATGCGCTGCAATGCTGCACATGCAGATTAGACCTCCAATGCTTTCCTATGGGGGTTTCAGCGACGCCACTAGAGGAGGAGTTAACCCTGCAAGGTAAATATTGCAGTTTATGAAAACTGCAATATTTATTTACAGTTGCAGGGTTAAGGGTAGTGGGAGTTGGCACCCAGAAGTGGTCTGGGTGCCTGGAGTGTCCCTTTAATTACTCATCCTTATAGCAGAGCTGTGCTCTGCCTCCTTGGCTGCGATCTTCATAATTGACAAGATCAGCAAATCCAATGCTTGGTCTGGGTGCCTATAGTATCCCTTTAAACATGTCAGTAAACATATATATAGAAACATATTAAAGTAATTAATCAATTACACATGTCATCATGTCATTGCAGTTACTACGACATCAGGCGGATGGTGAAGAGGAAGGTGAAGGCAGCAGCCGCCTCCAGGAAGACAGGAGGCGGTTCACAAGAACCGGACCTGCTACCCTATGAAGAGGAGCTCCTGCAGTTCCTGGGAAGAGAAAACCTCCTTGGGATTGAGGGGACACCTGGCACTGAAACATCTGAAGGTACGATGTTAAAGGACCACTATAGTGCCAGGAAAACAAACTCGTTTTCCAGGCACTGTAGGGTAATTAGGTCCTTCCCCACCCTCGTGGCCCCCTTCCCACTTCAGCCACTTACCTTTCTCCAACCCCTTCAGCCACTTACATTTCTCCAGCGCAGGGCTCCCTCGGCGCTGGGGAACACTCCTCCCTCTGCCGACGTCAGCTCCAAATGCGCAGCAAGAGCCGTGCACGCATTCAAACCACCCATAGGAAAGCATTACTCAATGCTTTCCTATGGACGTCCAGCATCTTCTCACTGTGATTTTCACAGTGAGAATCGCGGAAGCGCCTCTAGGCTGGATTAACCCTCAGTGAAACAGCAGTTTATCTAGAACTGCTATGTTTTCAGCTGCAGGCTTTAAACTAGAGGGACCTGGCACCTAGACCACTTCATTGAGCTGAAGTGGTCTGGGTGCCTATAGTGGTCCTTTAAATTCATATTTGTTAGTCGAAATGTACATATATCAGTTTGCTTGTGTTAACCTTCCAATGTGTGTTTTCTATGCCATCAGTGCAAGCCCCTCAATCCCCAGAAGAGGCACCAGGAACTGCAGGAGATGCTGTCTCCACGGAGAGCGGGGCAGCAGGTTCACCTCCTGTCTCCCTGGAAATGCGCCTGGCTTTACTTTCCTCTCGTAAGTACTTGCATAGCATTGTTAGATAAATGTTATGTGTGTGTGTGTGCGTGCGCATTTAAACATACACACACGTATGTGATTTTACTGTATATGAAGTTAATTTATCACATACATGTATTTCAGGCCATCCGCAACTTGTCGACGTTTCTTCACCACGTACGAGTGTGGTTTCCCTCCAACACCCGGCCACTGGTGTCCAGGAACAGGGATCCACTGCTGAGCGTAAGTAAAAAATGCTTTAACTGTACACATTTTCTTTGCAGGCATACTAGTTTATGTAACAGGCGGGGCCGGGTCGACCGCTAAGCATACTAAGCATCTGCCTAGCACGTGCTGGCCAGGGGGCTAAATGTCTGGGTGACCAGCAGGGTGGGGGGGGAGCTCACATCGCTCCTCTCCTTCTGTTCACTTTATGTACTGTGGCTGAGTGGACCACGTGTGATCTTATCTACCATCTTCTTGGCCTGACAGGAAGCTGAGTGCAACGATCAGCTTCCTGTCATGCAGAAGAAACAGGAGATTCTCTACCTGGGGACGCTCGTCCACGATACATGTAGTGAGATTAGAAGGAAAGGGAGGTGGGCACAAAGACATGCAAACAGACAGAGAAAGGGCTAGGGGGGGACAAAGATGCATAACTATACTTAGACATAATAATAAATTAATAGCATGACTGCATATATCTTATTTCCAAGTTTAAATAATATTGTTTTACAGATAATAGTAAGCATTGCAACATATGACACATGCTAACAATGTTCTTTCTCTGTTCTCCCCTATAGGTTCTGATGGTACTCTCTCCCTGCAAGAGGAGGGTACCATTACCCTAACAGCAGTGGATCCTGAGTCAGAGACATCAGTGGCCGAAGAAATGCCACAACTTCCTCCACCATTGGCTGCGCTGTATGCGACAATCCAGGCTCGTCAAGATGAACTGGAGACGTCCATACAGCAGGATAGGGAGAATCAGCGAGAACTATTGCAGAATGTAATAACCGAGGTACGCTCCATGTCGAATATTTTGAATGAGGGCGTTAGGCAATTTACATCAGCAATGGTTTCCTTGCAGCAAAATGTGCAGTGCTTTATGGAAATGAGGGAGGAAGAGTGCATTTTAATGCGCGCGCAAGCTGCCCATAATTTGGGCATAACCATCGCTGATGTAGCTAGCCTAGTTCGTGAAAGACGTGCGCAGGGTCTTCCCAGAAGGGATGATGATGATGAATAGATATCTGTGGGAAGAATGCACTCAGATGTTTATTTCTCATTATCATCCACAATGTGAACACAACTG